GCTTTTTTATGCATCGCTTTTCTGCTTTTATTCTATTTTGATGTTATTGCAGTGGCAACTGCGATATTGCAAAAGTTTCAGCAGAAAGTGCTGATATTTGCAGCAATGACGGAGAATGGCCTGCAGAGAAAAAGACAAAGCTAAAAGGAAATAAAAATAAATTCATTATATTGTGTTTATTGTAGCTTTTTTGCTGCTTAAACTTCTTGATCATTTTGATTGTCAGTTTATAACCTTTTTCTACATTTTTCATATTTTCCCTTGGCAATATTCTTCAAATGCAGTAGCAATGCAGTAGTAAAAAAAAAAAGTTTTTTGAGGCAATACTACGGTGTATTTTTTAAATATGTAAAAAAAAAAACAGCTTTGGACTCTTGAATCACATTTCTTTTAGCAAAACAATAAAGAATCTAAAATACATCAAAGTGACCACAAAGTCTTTAACTGTTTTTGGTCGCAAAAAAGTGATAACTTGCCCATTCAATCCCATTAAATGAATCACAGCAAAGCAGAACGACGAAGGTTGAAGAAGAAATGCTGCGACTGCAAAACAGCTCACATGAAGCAAACTGTGTGTCCTCAAGACTGTCGGAAGGTTATCATTTTAGGTCACCGTTATCACAGACTTAACAGCTTTCACCGAGGAGCCCTTGGGTGAAAGCTGAAGTCCGGGTAAAAAATAAATAAATAAATAATAAATAAATAAAGATAATCCCTACAAGTAAATTTCAAATCGACCTGCATTTGTTATCATGCATTGAGGATTCAGGACCAAGTGTGAAATGCAGACGGGTAATTAGGGATAACAGCAGAGCGTTACCTGAGTGAGAGAACAGATAAAATATACTGACAAAAACATTATCCTCGAGCTAAATCCAATGTGGCTGCCGCGAAATAGGTTGGTGGAGGAGTCAAATAGGTACATTATAGGATTGTGGACAAGGTTATTCACAGACTGTGAGTCTGTTTGCCGGTATTGTTTGTTTTAAAAAGTGTGTATAAGGCAATACAGACATTAATAGAAAAAGAAAATGCAATTCAGTGCGACCTTAAAAATGCAAAGTATTTCAACATAGAGGCGAAAATACTTTCATCAAGCATTTTGACTTTGAAACAAACTGAATGAAAATTAATGAAAGTAAATTATTGAATTGTTTTGAAACTGAATTTAGACTGAACCAGATTATACAGCTGCCTATAAATCTGACCTGTTTGGACAGATATTCACTTTAATTCAGGAATTTAAATAAACTGAATAAAATTCTTATAAAACTATTACTGAAACACAGAAGAAAGGTGGTGTTTCATTATCTTTACTTTCAAGAGTATAATTCAAGTTAAACATATTGTGCAGCTTTAATATGCACCAAACTGTATGACAGATAGCATTATGAAAGAATTTTGGTAGACACAGCAGTAACATTTTGTTGACCAAAGTCAGTAAGTAACTGCGTGCCCTGAATGTGAATACATTTGTTGTGAAGTTAACATAAAGAAAGTGTTGGCACTCCATTTCTTCCCTCTCTGCCTCTGCAGCAGACGAGAGTGAGGTCTTTGGGATGGCGTGGGAGTTCGCTATCTCCCAGCCTCCAGATGGCTCCGTCTTCTCTTATCTAGAAGAATGGGTGCCGCCTCAATTTTTCAACTCGCCTTATCTGGGAATCCTTTAAATTGAATATTTACTGGGCCTGTGTTTTCTGCTGGCATTAGCCCTCAGAAGTCGACATTCCTTTTGCTTGTTCAGACAGGGCAAAAGGTTTTTCTCGCTCACACACTTCCATTGTCCGTTTTGTCAAGCAATAGGACAGTGATTGATTATGTGATTGCTGGAAGAAAATGGAAGGTTAAGCAGTTAGGCTGAGAGCTGGAGGGGGGCATTGTAACAAATAGCCAGAGAGGGAAAATGAGGAACAATAGAGAAATGTACATTACCCAAACATGACATCAGGTACCTTCAGTTTATGTCAGGGGCAAAATAAAATATATGAATCATTTTCTAAACAGTCCATTGTTTCATGCACAGCATACACAAGAGGATAAGAGAACCCTTAAGCAGCCATTGAAAACTTCTTATTGCCATTTGACTGGCTGTGGTCTATCTGCATAAACAAGCTGTGCCACAGCTACTCCCTGGTAAGTGTCTGGAAATGTCTTTTCAAAACCATTTTGCGAAATGTCTCCATGTTGGATTAATCAGTGCAGCTGAGGATGTAATTGCTGTGCTGAAGTGAAAGCTGTAAGAACAGATAATGAACACTAACTCCATGGCTGCCAGAATCCAGGGCAAAAAAATAGAAAATGGCAATAAGAATGTCTTCAGCATAATTTAAACAGAAGGCATATAAAGGTCCACTATATTTACACACATAATGATCATTTAAAAAAAGCATTAAGAGATCAGTAGTTCTAAAAATGCATCTTATTACAACATGCAACAACTTTAAAATAAGTCCTTGTGCTTTAAGGCTTTTTCCAAACTTTTAAAATGATCTGAGATTTTTTAAAATATATTTTGTAGGTGCCTGTTCTGCGATCAAGCCATGGTGCTTGGCTAATTTATATGTACATGAATCTGAAACTCTTGGTATGCTAAGAAAATGAAATGTAAGAGCTGAGTGTTGCTGCCCTCTAGTGAAGAAAGACACTAAGAGTCGTGCACAATTCAACGACAACATATTCAAAGCAAATCTCTGAAAGCATAAACTGCAGTAAGTTTCAACGTAGTGCACATATTTTCTTTAGGTACTGTAGCTATAAAACAACAAAAATAAGTTTAGAATTTGATTTCACCTATAAAAAGTATTTAAACAATATTTATACATTTCAAGTTCACAACAAACTATCTAAAGCTACTTTACAGAAAAGCCCAATTTAAGTCAAAATATATAAACTTTTTTTTTCTTTTCTTTTACAAATATTGTAAATGTATAATTACTATAATTTGCTACATTTGCAATCAAATGTTGCAATGGCCATAACTGACTGTTTTATTAGATATGTCGTATTCTTTCTCCCTTGAACGTTAGCAGTATTGAAATACAAGATTTACAGGAACCATCGTGTTCTGATTGTGAATTTATGAAGCGATGTCAGAGTTCATTTCTCATCTTTGAGATAGTACTTCTCATAGGAGCTCATCCAATCTGCAATGATCTCTGGCAGTATTTTAATTCAGTTAAAACACGTTCATTTTGGCTAAGAGGAGTGAAAACACACACATTGGATGCTAGAAGTAATAATATAATGTCTCAATATTCAGTTCATTGTTTTCTGTTATAATCATTTTTTTTTTTTTTTACCAGTTTGGTAACAGAGGCAAAGGAGTCTCGTTTGAATCTATTTATACAATATTCTCATGTACCCATTAGAGAAAAAGTTAATTGTTTGCAATGTGCATCTCTAATATGCTCACAATCAGAGGAAACATTTAATCCTTGTTGTTTTTCTTCAATATCAGAAACAAAGTCAACCATAAAGAAACATATACATATGTACAATAAATTTCATACAGTGAATAAGTCATCATGTAGTTTGGGCAGTCACCATTTATTTATTTATTTATTTATTTTCAAAATATAAATACATAAATAAAATTATCACTTAGAATTTACATCTTTTAAAATTGTATTAGCCTTCTTGTTAGAAGATGTTTGCTTTTAAAAATTTAAAGTTTAATTAACTGGATAAACAATTTAAAAATTGATTATAGAAATGTTAGGGTCTCAAATCACACATGTAGGGCATAGGTAATAGGATGAAGAATACGTCTCTCGTGTTTCTAGTTACAATCCCACACCAAGGTCGACAATATTACTAAATGGTTTAGTTAATTTCAATTCAAACAGTCTCTGCTGGGTTTCCACTTTGCACAGCAGGTGGACTGGTCGAGTAATATCAACACAGTTGTGATTACTCCATTGAAGCAGTGGGTTGCTCCAATCAGAGCCGAATCCCTCTCCTTATTACAGTTTGCAAGGCCAAATCACAGTGGGTGGACCACTGAGTAAGACTTCACATTTTCTCTCTGAAATAATTGAAATTCATTTTTGGCACTCTGATGTTACCCCATCAACACCAGACTCTTTCACATTTGCACAACTATCCATCATGCACTTACTGTTCAAGTTCAAGTTCAATTTTCTTACACTTTGACATGTATGTTTTGATACAGCTCTTACACAATCACAATGAACTTTTACATTGATTTTGTAGGCTATATAGCATGGTATATAACACTCCTGTTCTAAAAATACTTCCAATTGATTTTATTCAATATTCTGTCGTTCTGAGAAGCGGAATTTATTTTTTTTTATTTTTTTTATTTTTTTGCAATAAAGCCAAAAATGATCAAAATTTACTGAACTGTTTACTGAATTATCCAAAAAAATTGTCTTTGTACATAATATACGGGTTACATTAAAGAACTAAGTTCTTTTAATTACTGTAGCAAAGTAACGTTTTGATAATATTCTGATTTGGGCAAAGCTTTCATTCCTCAGGACTATTTACATTCCTTACATATTTATAGCAAACTTTTCCTAAACATTCGTATTTTATCGTTAAACTGAGTTTTCATTTCATTGTGGCTGTCTGTGTCGATTCCCGAAGACTTTACGTTTGATGCCATTTGTTTTTTGTCCTAGAGTCAGGAGTGCCTCCTTACAGTGGATTTTGAGCGCTTATGCGAAATGTTTCGTAAAGTTGCTTTTGTTTGTTTGTTTGTTTCTTAGCTCAGACTTTCTGGTAGTTGGGTAAGAGTTGAGAGTCAAGTTCGCTTTTCTTGGTTCTCGCAGCAGATGGCGCTTAAATGTCCTATCATTCAGTGTTAAATCTCTATTTCATAAAAATTGGTGAACGATTTTCGACTGCGAAAATTTCATACTTAAGTTTTCTAGCATTTCTCCAACTAACGGTGCTTTCTAATAATCGTAAAAACAACGTAGACGTTTCTACTGGGATCAAATAAAGCCGGACCCTGCAGTATTGCACTTTTTCAGATTGTATTTGAACGCACCGCACTAACAGCTGGGCTAGGTTTTGGCTGTGCCCTCTTCACTTACGGAGCTGACAGATACAGAGATCCCGCGGTTTTCCTGCTGCCCGTCTGGTAAGATACTTTGCGTAGTTTAAAACTTTCCTTATATTTAACTGATTATGTATATGCATTAACTTACTATTAAAAATGAGTTTTTCACTCTTTACGGTTGCCATCGTAATTGCTATGCGATGAATGTCGTAAGGATAAGTTAAAGTGTTACTTAGTTTTTGATAAAATCCATAAATTTACATTTCATAAACTAAAATGTGGATTCAGTTTTAGGCTATGAGTTATAGATTAGAGTTAATTATCTGATGATGTTTTAATCTCTTTTTTGGTATCTTTCATTCTATTATTGGTTTTCTATTTTCAGAAATGTCTTATTGGAAAACTTCAGCAGGTGCTTCATGCAGCCTTTGTGTGCACTCTCTCAGAGCTCTGCTGGCTTTCTCTCTGTGCTGCTTCATATCTGGAAACTCTGAAAGAGACAGAGCACACGATTTATTATCCAGATATCCTCTCATAGATGGGTAATGGATGCATATTCTTTACTCCTAAACATAAATTTACACTCTCTGAAATTAAGATTTAACATTAAGATTCATCTTAATATTAACGTTAATGTTAAGATCAAAATGGTTAATGTTGCTTTTCTCACTCTTTCTTCTTCTTGCTGCAGTCATAACGATTTAGCTCTAAGACTGAGGATCCATTACAACAACCAGCTGAGCAAGATCAATCTGACTCAGCTCACCAGAGTGGCCACTGATATCTCTCGCCTCAGAGCAGGTCATGTGCAGGCACAGGTACCTTAGAGTCTGACTGAATGAGTGCAATGGCACTGTTTTGGTATGTACATTTACTGGCCCCTTTATAAGTATTTGTTAACACAAATTACAAAATAACTTTGAACATGGCAACATTTTTTAGAGTGGTCTGAATATTTCAGAAACTGCTCTGTGGCTGTCATTTTCAACATTTACAACTGTATGTACAGAAATGGCTTTCTGAAGTTGGGATAGAAAGACAATAAGAAAACTGGTTCAAAGGTAACAGTGTCTAAAATGACCACTCGTTGGTAGCATGCAGAGTATCTTTTGTTAATGCAGAATCTTGAAGCAGATGATTTATGGCAGCAAAAGTCTACAAATGGGGGTGCTTTTGTCTGCTGAGAACAGGAAATTGAGACCACAATTTACACAGTCACGGCAGATTTACATGATAACATACTGAGAAAACCTTGCCTGATCTGACTCACCCTAAAAAAATTCTAATGGCATGTTGAGAATTTGTTTTAAGCAACATAAAGAAATGAGTCTATACTTTGTTGAATCAATTGTTCACCTTATTTGAGAGGTTGTGTTATGGTGAGGAGGATATTTTTCGGACACATTAGTACCTTTAGTACCAATTAAGCATCAATGAAGTATTATTAATAATGATGTCCATCACTTTATGATTAGCTTTCCCATCTTATGAAGCCTAGTTGCAGCAGGATAATGTATTATATCAAATGTTAAAATCATCATTTGATGTTGATTTTAACTTCAAATGATGTGAAAATATTTTAACATTGACTGTTAAAATCATTAATTGGTCTCAGCCCAGTAGAGCAGCTTCAATAGAGCTATCATGTCAACATAAGTCAATATTATATATGTTCTGAATATATGTGACTTTTATTTATTTTTTAATCTTATTATTATTTCCATCTTTGTTTGTCAGATGTTTTCAGTGTATGTTTTGTGTGGGGCCCAGCACATGGATGCGGTGCGACTGACTTTGGAGCAAATAGATGTAATCAGACGAATATGCACAGAATACCCTGACTTTGAACTGGTCACGTCCACTCAGGGTATGGTACTCATTGTCTTGTTACCAAGCCCAGGGAACAGTGCATTGACTGCTATGCTTCAAAATTAATAAGAAAATAGTTGCAACTGAAGCTTTTTGAATCATGAAAGTATGTCTGTGTTTGCAGAACTGAGGGATTCCCTGACGAGGGATAAAATTGCTTGTCTGATAGGTATTGAAGGAGGCCACTCCATTGATAGCAGCCTCCCTGCGCTGCGCATGTTTTATCAGCTTGGAGTCCGCTCCATGTCCCTCACTCATTCCTGCAATACTCCCTGGTATTCTAAAGAGCATGCAGTTTCTAAACATCATGTTTCTTGTCTGTAGGATGTAAATTCCATATTAGAAACAAGTTCAGTCTGAACATATTTTGAATAAAGATTATGCTTAACATTTTGTTACGCATCTTCTGACTAATATATATTTACTTTTTGGTGCAGGGCTGAATCTTCTACAAACTATTACAAAGTCTTTGTAAGGCCCAATAACAGCCTTACGACATTTGGAAAGGTAATTTTAACCTTTGGTGGTCAATGACCCCAGAAGTTACTGCCACATTTCATCACATCTCACAAACTGTTCATGGATTTTAGGAGGAATGTAATTTGTCAATTTAAAATTTAGGTTTTAAAATTTTATTCTGTCTAAAATTAACAAGAAAAAGTGAAACCAGTCATAGATGGTTGGTAGTTTTATTTTTGAACCTTTTAAGTGCAAGTCTATTGGACTTCCTTGATAGTTATCAATACCAGAGTATTTACTTGTGTACGCCTCACAATCTGCTGATCTGCTGTTTCTGGTTAATTCATTTATTTTTTTTCTTTCTTTTTTGAATAGGCTGTTGTGGATGAGATGAACAGACTGGGAATGATAGTGGATCTTTCCCACACATCTTTTGAGACAGCTTCAGCCGTTCTGAACCATTCTAAAGCTCCAGTCATTTTCAGTCATTCGTCCTCCTACAAGATCTGTAACAACAGTCGTAATGTACCCGACTGGTTGCTACATAAGCTGGTGAGAAAATCTGCTTGCTGAATCATCTGTGGGTTGTTGTTTTCATGCCAATGTAATGGAAAATCTATCAGCAAATTTTCAGCTTAGAAATGAAAGCCTGTTATCCCATGATCACTTTTCTAAATTATAAAATGTGTGTTTAAAAAAAAAGGTCCTTACTGATAATCATAATAATAATAGATGTCAAAGTATATCAACCAAAATGATCTACTTCGAGCCAGCATAAACAAATTAAGTTGAATTCTTATACTGTGTAAAGAAAATTGAGCCTTAATTTGAGGAATAATAAGGACAAATTTGTATAGGTAAGTAGTGACCATGTTTAGTAGCTTTGAGAAATTTTTGTTCAAACTTTCTGAAATTTGTAATTTGAAAATTTTGTATTCTTTGCAAACTTTGAAAGCATTAACTGTTTTAACAAAGTATTTCTGATCCTTTTTTCACTAGTACCATAATAAACTCAAACATACACTTATAGGAGGTTCAATCTTTGATGAATAACTCTCATCTAAATGTGCCTCGCATGTGCTTTTGGCACTCACACCCCGCACCACCTCCACACACGCAAACACACCCGTACATGCATTTTACATTTACACAATCTTTTACAGGAATCTCATTATTTATTGCAGCATATCCCAACCCTGGTGCTCGGGGCACACAGCTCCATTTTTCAGCACACATTTTTGAGTTACTAAAATTTTTCTCTCAAACTGATGGATTGCTTTTTGTTCTGTGTATTATTCTTATTATTAAATGAAACATTTGACTGTTCATTATACAAACACAATGAGCCAAAGCAAATTAGTTAAACAGTTTAGCCCTTTCTTTCCCAGTCTTTAAAACTGCATCTGGTAACAGTTTGATCTGAAAAACGTGAACCAAGCATGACTAGTACCTCAGGGTAATCCCACCCTTACTGCTGCTATTCCACATCTTGATTTGGCATGTTTCTCATCATTTCACATGACTCTGTTTGCTTTATCATAGTCTGGTGCAACACACAGACTTCTACTTGTGACCTTATTTCACTCTATAAGCATAGTTTGACTAAAAGAAACCTGACAAACATATGCAACTTTGCTTAACTACAAACTACATGTTTGTGTTGTGTTTCAGAAAGTGAACAGAGGGCTGATCATGGTGAATTTCTACACCCCTTTTATTTCCTGCCAGAACGAGGCTAATGTTTCTCATTTGGCTGGTAAATTTTTCTTCTTGAATAGTAGTTCATTTGAATGTGGCATTGAATCTTTTAATACCTGAGTCTGATGTGTATTTTCCACTGTTTCATCAGACCACTTTGATCACATTAAGGCGGTCATTGGAGCTAAGTCAATAGGAATTGGAGGAGACTTTGATGGTGGCATTAGGTGAGACATGTACCTGGATGCACTCCATCCATCCATCCATCCATCCATCCATCCATCCATCCATCCATCCATCCATCCATCCATCCATCCATCCATCCATCCACCCATCCATCCATCCATCCATCCATCCATCCATCCATCCATCCATCCATCCATCCATCCATCCATCCATCCATCCATCCATGGATGGCTCGTTTCCTGCTCTCCAAGGTCAAAATTAGTATTAATAAAAATACTAATTTTCTTTTCAAAAAAATCCATCCATCCACCTTTTTGTTTTAAAGAATACATAAAAGTGATCATATGTGTTTCAATAACAGATTTCCTGTGGGATTAGAAGATGTCTCAAAGTATCCTGTAATAATCCAGGAGCTCCTGAAGAGGAAATGGACAGAGGAGGAATTGGCCGATGTCCTTAGAAACAATTTTCTGCGAGTGTTTGATGAAGTTGAAAAGGTTAGCTGTGAAAATAACTCACTTCCTAACTAAGGAATCCCACTATAGAATGCGTACATAATTATTAGTCAAGTTGGTATTTTGACCATACTATCATTATTAGGGCTTTATCCAGCTAACTGCAAGCTGGATAAAGTTGAATACATTGTGTATTTAATTATAGGATGCAGAACTCTTGAAATTAAGATATTTGAGAATGATCACAGAACCATTCCAATTTATGACATGACTCCTCACCTGATCTGAACCCAGCTGAGAACAGTTCAGTACAGTGAAGGAAAACAGAGTGAGAGAGCTGTACTTCTGAATGCTGAGCAGTAAAATTAACTGCCCTAACTTTATTGTTTTCTCATTACATACCACATATTTCATTTTCAAAATATGTCAATTTGACGCATTTCTTCATTCTTCTTTCTGGAAATACTCTCTTAAATTAAACAATTTCTCTTGGTGAGCAAAACATCATGCCTCAACAATCAGTGAAAACACATTATTTGCCCCAGTCAAATACTTTTTGATATTATTTACAAACCTTTTGCATGTTTCCAGTTATGTTTTTGATGAGTTACCTGAAAATCCGATGAGCTGCAAGTATTTGGGGTTTTCATATTAAATTTGTGTAATATTTTCTACTTGTGTTCCACTCTATTTAGGTTCGCAATGAACTAAGCTGGAAGAAGCCAAGTGAAGAAGAGATACCTCAAACAGAGGTGGCAAACAAATGTAGAATGGAACTCAAACAACCTATCCTGCGAGAATTGCTCTCCAACCAGAGCCCATCCTTAAAATCAAAAGGACAAAATTTGTTATTCCTGGCCTTAGCACTGCTTTTTAATTCTTTCCTTGACTGACTAAATCCTGTTCTCTTCTTTAGTTCAGCTTTTTATTATCTATATGAAGGATGAGTGCAAATGTTTAATGTAGATATGAGTGCAAACGTCCATTATGCCGTCATATTTCATATGCACTTATAGCATATAATTACAATAGTTATTTACATTTTTTACAACTAGGGGTGCACTGATTGATTGGCCTGAATTCCATAATTTTGGGTGATTGACGATTGGCTGATACTTTCGGGTGAAACTGATCATAACCACGAATCTTATCTACCTCTGTAAAGGTCTGAAAATCAGTCACTGACCTCTTTTGCTGTGCTGTGCAAGAGGGCTGACTCACAGATCGACTCATTAGCTCACATCTGCTGGCATTTGGTTAACAATAGTCAACCAAATACTAATTTTCTTTTCAAAAAAGTAACTTGAGACAAATGTAGTTATTGGAAACTTTGGCAATGGTGCCATTCATAAAGAAAAAAAAAAGGATATCCACAAAAAAATCCGTCTTTTTTAAGACTGGTGATCTTCCAAAAAAATTGCAGTCAGTGCATCCCTACAGCTTATATGTATTTGTTAAAATTCTGCTTTATAAGATGCACTTTAATAACTAATGTATGAATGTATTAATAAAAACATTTTGTTACTGTATGCAGTTCAGAATCAGTATATAAAAAAATAAAAAGTTTAAAATGGAGCTTCTGATTTAATGAATGTTGTTGACCAGTGAGAAGGTTGTCAGGTGAAATCAAAGCAGATCATTTACAGCTTACCTGGCTCCTTTAAATATGGGAAATACACCAAATAATTGAAGTAGTTACTATGGCGGGACTTGAATCAACAGATGAAAAGATCCATTGGTAAGATTAATTATAGTGATGATATCCACCTTTATATAACCTCACACATGCATTCATACATCCATGCAATCCCAATTTACCCAGAAGAATACACCAAACTCTCTTTGTGTGCTTTATGAAAAAATATTTTCTTATTTTGACAATTGCAAATGAAGAAACAAACTAAGATTTCTTTAAAAGAAATGTTTATTTATCATTGAAATAACTGTTATGCATACAGTGAAAAAAAAATAGTATTGTTAGAGAAACTCTTTAATAAGCAAAATTGTGTTTCTGAGAATAACTGAGTATCCCAAAAGTGATTTTCAAATTTTAGGTTTATTTGTTATCAGTTATGAACATTTTATATTATGTTTTTCTTTATATCACACGTTAAGTTTCTTTGAGTTTCTCATTTGTAATGAACTGCAGTATTTTGGACTATACTTGCTGTAAAACAGGAACAACATGTTGGTATGTATATAAAGCAAATTCATTTCAGTTGCAAAACAGAAATTGGAATATAAATACAATGAAAACCTATTACGCAAACTCTTGAAAATAATCATCTTTAAGCTCATTAAAGTCTCCCAAGTTTGCTAAATAAAAGCATTCATAAAACATTGACAGCGTTTTAAGTTTTCTGTTCAACAGCAGAAATATAACTGCAGATAGATTAATCGTATTTCTTAAAACCTTGGTTATAGTCAAAATCAGGCAATGTCTCAGAAAGCGTATTTGTAGGGATAGAGGGGAAATATTCAGAAAATAAATTATATAAATACTTCTATTCTTGAAAAGAATAAATAAGAATATTCTTTCAAAAGAAAATACTTTTAAGTTTTTGCTGCTAGCTTTTCTAGCTGTTGTTCTACATACACTGACACCCATCTTAAAGTGAAACAGATATTAAGATTTGAAATATTGTAAGGATTTCCAAATAATTACAAACCATCAGTCATGTAAAAAATGACTTATATACATTTTTTATTACGTCAACTTATCATGAAGTCTTGCCTGAAGTCTGCAACACCCTTTAAGAAAACTATTTGCTAAAAGATCTTCTGACAATCTAATTAAAAATTTATATTTTCCACCTTGTTCCTGGCAGTGTTGCTGGTATGGATTGTGGGAACAACATCCAATATGATGTTACAGAAAAGCATATTTGTTTTGGTAACTGTTAAGTTGGAGCAAACTACTTTTGAAGAAATTCAGTGTAGTACAGATACTTTTTGGTGTTTTTTAGGGTTTCTATAACCACACTTACTGGCATGAACCTTTAGTCCTCCACTAGTTGTCTTATTGCAGAAAGAGCATCAGGTGTGAATTTGGGTATATGATAAAGTTTTAGGTTCTATAATGTCACAGCTGCATGACTGCAAGATTACCTCAGTCTTACAAACACAATGTGCCATCTTTATTTCCCCTGGAACCCAGGATGATTTCAGGTAACTTAGGATTTACCTGGCCTTCATCAAAAAAGCAGAATGAATTTTTTTACTGCAAATAATGATTGGCCTCAGAACCTTTTTAGTTTTTTAACGCTTCCCCTTATGCTTGTGTATGTGCGTTATCTGAGACCTGTTGAAAGATGAATAGACTGAAATTATATTACCCCTCTTAAGGTATAAAATTGTGCATCCTCATGTGTTCTTAATCTGTATTTGTCTGTGAGAAGGAATTTATTCCTGTGAAATACTACAGATCCAAATCTTTACACATAGCATCATGGGGTAGAGAAGTTGGAGAAGTTTTTTGTCTAGTAGAGAAATATTGCTACAACAAGCTCTGACATGAGATCCGGTTGCTCTTGTTTCTGTTTGACTTACAGGCCAAACAGCAAAATACAGGTTCATGACAAGACCCTGTGTTTGATCTACAGCCCAAGAAAATGATGAAGGCTTGTCAATTACAATTGAATTCTAAGGAAGCTAATGACTGCTTTCATTCGTAATGAAAGAACAGGATGACAGTTTTCAGCATTTATAAATATTCTACAAGAATAGAATCAACCTCTTTTGCTCCCAAAAGTTTAACTCAGCCCCCTCTCTGTGCCTAACCCTCAACTCATAGCTTAAAAGCAAAGCATGCGTCACTTTCTATCCCGTGTTGGAATGTATTTGTATGTCACTGCCCATAATAACTCCTTGCAGGTTATGAGTAGATAGTGATGACCTCTCGCCCTCCTCCTCTCACCAACATGACTCTTTCCAAACCCTCGGTTAGCACCTCCAGAAACTCCATATCTGAGCAGTAAAATTAAGGAGTTAAAAAGAAAAGTATAGGATTTTCACACATCTCGTTGTTACTCTCTCCATGGGTTGTTGATAGGAATGGCAAAGGATACAGTTTTCATCTCCATCTGTATTGCGTGGTGGGCCTGGCATGTTCAGCAGCACTAATCGGGCATCATGAGACCTGTTAACTATTACTTCATTAAGTTTCACAGCTGTATGCATGCGGCGCACATTGGACTGATCCCTAAAACGCAGCAAGGGAGAGTTTTATTAGTGCCACAGAAAAAATGTTGAGATGATTAAAATCAGCACAAAACTAGTAAAAAAAAAAAAAAAAAAGTAGTGTTAATAGTTATAAATTGTCCAGAGCTGTTTAGAAAATACAAATGTCTCACGGTTTGAGGCTCATGAGTTCTCTGAAGTTCTCAGGAGCATTATTTCGGTTTCGCCTTTCAGCTTCACACTTCTCCTTGGTCCAGGTCATCTGGACTTTCTCTGGGGGAACCTCCATCACATCCTCCTCTTCGTCAGAGTACAGACTGCCCATACGCACCAGTGAGTGTCTGTCTTTAACCAGCTGGGCCTGTAGGTTAGTGTTAAAAATATGAAACTGATTCTAGAAGAGGTATAAATCTCTCTTTCAGTCCCAACATACCTCTCTTTGTCTTTCTGCACTGGATAGCCTCATTTGCCGTAACATCTGGGACCTCTGCTCCATCATTAGTGTTCTTTCATAAGTGTAAGCTGAGATATCACTGTCGTGCTGAAATCCCATTTAAGAAACATGAGTTGGAAATGCAGATGAAACATAATGTCTTACAAATGTTTATATTTTTCCATATTTTTTGGTGTGGATAACATGAAAACTGCATAAACTGCTTCAAACAGTCTCAAGTTTCCCAAAAAATGGATCCATATATCTGCACCTGTTTTCAGATATATGGCTACAAGTTTTTTCCCCCCAGTGGAATTACATTTGTATGTTTAAGTCATTTTATTTTGCCTATTATTTATATTATTTTTTGGCTTGTTGAAAACAACCACTCTGTGTTAGTCTGAAGCATGTCTGCTTTGTTGAGTCAATGTGATCTGATGTCCTGTTTGTCGTTATCATAAAATGTATTCCATTTGACTATTTTCTATCACTAATGAGTTACTGTGTGAGAGGAGCCCTCACCATCTCCACCACCTCCACCTCTGCTTCTATTCTCAGCTGGTACAGGAATGTGGCCAGGTCTTTCTTCATCTGGATGCTGTTGTCATCCATCTGGGCCACAGTGAAGATGCGCATTTTGCATTTTCTCCACACCTAAAATGCAAAAGTCTTGTGATCTTTTCAGTGCAATACTGAAAGTAAAGCTGCATTAAAGTCAATTTAAGAAAGATACCGGTCATATATATGTCCCACACACAAAATGAAAATGGTTTGGGAGCTTTGAAAAAAATCTCCCCATAAAACTACATTTAAATAGTCAACTAAATGAAGAGGAAGTGTTGTTCACTGACCTTGTGCTGTTTGAGCAGGAAAGGAAGCAGCATCAGCATTCCTCCGTCATGAACAATCCACCACACATCAATGTTCCCATCTGTGAAGCGTTCATGGTTGCTCGGGTAAAATGATACATTTTTGGGGACCATCAGGGCGAGGTGGGCAGCTGTTGTGCAGCGGACCGTGTCTGAAACAGAGAAGGCAACACACAGGCTGTAATATTTACATATGTGATTACCATTACTACACATAGGGCAATACAGTCTCTGCTGTCTCATTGCGCACCACAGTGTATCATGGAAGTCCTGAAATGCATCATAATTTAGTGTGGTAGGTTAAATTAGAAAAGTGAAAGGAATGTTGTACTGACTGAAAACTGAACATCCAATTCTGCTCCAGATAATTTTTTTAAAAGTTTGTTTCTCTTTACCTTTGGTGGAGAAGACTTTTCATATATATGGGATGAAAAAATACTTTTAACGACTTCAGAAGAAATAAAAACACCAAAATCAATGTTTGTTCTCATTATAACATTGCCAAAAAGACAAAGCTAAAATTCCCACAAAATTGCTTAAGGTGGATAAAAGGAAAACCAAAAACTTTTTGTCCAAAATATTACAATGCTGAAGAAAAAGTTAAATGATTTACAGATTAGACTGCTAAAGTGTCGAAATACTCTTACTGATAAAGGTTTTCCAGGCTCGGGGGTCTTCGCTCTGTCTCCAGCCGTATGGCCAACCCATAACCACGGTGTTGTGTTTCATCCCACCCAGACCACAGGACTGGATCAGGTGGGCTATGCCTTCTCGTACCTTAGTTGCTACAACAACTTGACAGAAACCTTTGACCCGCTCAATTTCCATCATGTTCTTAATGGCCTAGAAGGACAGTTGCACTTTTATTAAATTTTAGCTCATTTTAGTTTTTTCAAATTGACATCCAAGCTCAAATCTTTCAAAAGTAACATTTTCAACAAAATCTAATCAAAAACAGTAATTTGAGGTGATTAATAACTTGCATTAGCATACATGCTTATAATTATAAACAATATAAGAAAAATTAGCCCTATACAATAAAAAATGTTAACTTTCCACTGCACAAGAGCAGTGACATACAATCGAGAAACTTT